TCTTTTTTTCTCAATTACAAAAGCATCTACATATATTTGAAAATTTTTAATAGATATCTACTACACTTTACACACACACACACACATAAGTCACCTGGTATTTATTTTTTATATAACTGGGATAAGGTTTTTTATATAACTAACTGATATGGACAAGTTGTCTCCACCAACAAAACCTGAACACTATGAAGAGATACCACGTGATTTTTGCCTGGTATTTAGTAAGTACTTAATAAATACTTGCTGACTGGCTGATTGATTGGTTGACTATAGGGAGTTCCTAGTGAGGAAATACTACTTACCAATTCAGATCAACAACTAACCTTAGACTCTAAAAGGGCTCTTAACTTGAGGTCTGTGAACTTTTAAACATTTTTTTAACATCTGCACTTCAATATAATTGATTTCTTTCGTAATTCTATGGATTTTATTTTGTGCATTCAAAAACATGATTCTAAGATCCCTTACACTTCACCAGACTACCAAGGAGGTCTATGCAGGCAAGAGGAAAGAAAATAAATTACCTACTATACTATGTGCCAGGCACTGTGCTAAGCACTTTATACCTATTACCTCATTTGATCCTCAACAACCTTATGAGGTAGGTGCTGTTATTATCTCTTCATTTTATAGTAGAGGAAACTGAGGCAAACAGAGGTTAAGTAACTTGCCCAGGGTCACACAGCTATTAAGTCTGAGACTAGAATTGAACTCATGCCTTTCTGACTCAATGCCCAGCATTCTATGCACTGCTCCATCCAGCTGCCTTCTGTACCTATGACAGAGAGTTACCTGGGGCATAGAATCAGTAGGAGTCAGCAGCGAGCCTTTAACCCAGCTTATTCTGATTCCAAATTGGGCCCTCTCTCTACTAAAACCATAACGCTTCTCAGGAAAGCATATGTACATAACATAATTATTTGTATCCTCTAGACAGGCTATTTGCTTGATTTGCTTACATGATATTCTGTATCAAGGTTTATTTGTCCTTTGTTTTTGAAGACTAATGAGATCACAATATGATAGCCTGATTCATGCATGAATTGGATTTAAGTAAGGCAGAGCTGCAGGAAGTCATCAGCCTCACTCTCTTTCATAGTCACTGAAGTCCAGTGGCAAGACAAAAGTCAAGATGATTGGCAATGGTCTGGGATGGAATGGATGACCTTGGTGTCTTCAATGTCTGACCAAGCTCAAAGCACTCCAAAGCACCTGCTTTAGCTACCTTCATGGCCATGGGAATAAATTGTTCTCATCTACCCATTCCACTATGGGAAATCTTCACATTCTTGGAGTAGACACCTCCTGCCCCAGAACTCACCAACAAGTTTGAAGCCCATCAGTTACTCTCAATCCGGTTTAGCCAATCTGCTAAAACAGTTTACGAGGTGTGGCCACTGCACATGCTACAGCTTCTTGGAGCCACAAGTGAAAGCTGAATGTCAAGTAGATACCCAAGCAGCCCTGAAAAGTGCTCAGCAAGCCCTCACACCAAAGTGCTAGTCTTCTTTGAATACCCCACATACCTAGAGCAGGTGGGTAGAGGGGAGGTAACGGGAAGCCTTGATTAGGAGTCCCAGACCAACCTCTTGCCACACTGCAAAAAGAACAAAAGGTCAATTTTTGGTATTCCCAAAAACTCCCCAGATCAGCAACTTCAAGACCCTTAGGAGTACACAACCCTAAAGGTAGGAAACAATTGCCTAAATAAATGGTTCTTATGTATTGTGAGGGAGAGGGGATCACTGCTTGATGGCCAACTTTCTGGTAAGAAGCATCTCTAAAGTTCAGTAGAGGTAGCTAGGTGGTACAGAATCAGGAAAGGCTGAGTTCAAGCCTAGCCTTAGAAACTTAGTTACTCTGTGACCCTGGAGAAGTCACTTGACCTCTCTCTGCCTCAATTTCTTCAACTGTAAAATGAGCATAATAATAACAATACCTCCCAGGGTGGTTGAGAGAACCAAATGAAATATTTTAGTACAGTTCCTGGCACATGGGAGGAGCTTAATAAATGCTTATTTCCTTCCTTCCTTCCTTTAACTAGGCTAGTTCACAGACACTGGGCATGAAGTCTATGTTCAAGCCCCTCTCACATAGGCATCACCCTAGTTGAGATCCTCATCACTTCTCACCTAGACTACTGCAATAGTTTCCTAATTTCACATCCTGTCTCAGGTCTCTTGCCTTTTCAAATCATCCCACACACAGCTACCACAGTAATGTTCCTCAAGTGCAGGACTGACCATGTCACCCCCAAAACACACACACACACACACACACTCAACAAACTCCGGTTGCTCCTTATCACCAGTGGGATCAAATACAAACTCCACTGTTGGGCATTTAAAGCTCTTTGAAACCTAGCCAATCCTGCCCTTTCTGTGTGTTATACTTTACTCTCTTCCTCTGTGCTCTGTACAATGCAGACAAACTGACCTTCATGCTATTCTTCACTCACTAAATTTTATCTCCTGTCTCTGTCCCTGGAAGAATCTCCCTCCTTATTGCACCCTCTTGGAAATCCTGGTTTCCTTCAAGACATAGCTCTACATCCTCTACATGAGACTTTTACTGGTTCCCTCTGATAGTAATGGCCTCCCCTACAAATGACCTTGTATCCTGTTTAGCATTTGTTTTCCATATACCTATAAATGCACATGTTTTCTCCTCCACAGAATGTATACTTCTTGAATTCAGGGATTTGCTAACTGGTTCACTCTTGTCTTTGTATCTCAAGCACCCAGTACAGGGCCTGACACATAGTAGGGTCTTAACACATGCTTATTAAATTGTTGGTTGAGAACACCATTATGAGTTAAGTAGTAGAGGTATAATTAAGCTCATTATATAGATAAGGGAACAGACTCATAAAAACTACATGACCTGCCCAGAGTCACACAGGTAATAAGTATCAGAGCTGGGATGTTAATCCTCATCTCCTCCTGCCCCTAAGGCTTACAATCCCTCCACTGCAATATACTTGCTTATCTGTTGAGTGCTTACTGTATGCCAAGGTACTGTATCAAAATGTTAAAGCAAATAGAACATCCCCTAAAAAGCTTCCAAACTAAACAAAAGCCATTAAATAATAAATAAATTAGAAGAAAGTAAAATATGAACAGGAGAAAAGCTGCAATGTTTCTAAGACATTGTGAGTCATGGAGAACAGAGAAATTTATCTGAAAGCATCATTCTATTTGAGAACATTATTTTAAAGCTTTAAAATCATTCAAAAATTATTATGGTCTTATCCATCAGAAACATTGTAGAGTACATTGCTGATTCTATTTTCTTTCATTCATTCAACAAATATTCAGGAAATGTCTGATGTTGTTCAGTACTGTATTAGGTAATGGGAAGGATAGTTATATAAAAAAAAAAAATGATCCCTGCCCTCCAGCTTTAGTCAAGTTTTGGAGACAAGATACAAATACTTGAAAAGTTAAACAACATAATTAAGTGTCCGATAGCTGGTAGAGACAATAGGTGGCAGTTATAGGAAGGAAATATTACTGTGGACAGATAAGTACTAGGAGAAGACTTCATGGCCCTTGAGATGGGCTTTGAAGACTGGGCAGATTCTGGATAAGCAGAGGGGAATGGGATGGGAATAGAATTAGCAAAGGCAAAGAGAGAGAAGACATAGTGAATAGAAAACCAGTCTCAAGGCCAGGAAGATCTGGTTCAAGTACTGACTATGGCAAATGTGACTGTGGGCAAGTCACTCAGGCTCTCAAAGACTTTTTGGTCTCATGAGCCCATTTAGCTCTTTAAAATTATTGAGGACACTTCCTCCCAGCCCAAGAGCTCTTATTTATGTAGGTTATCGCTATCAATATTTGCAATATTAAAAACTAAAATATCATATTATTATGAAAATTATTTTGACTTTGACCCCTTGTCGGGGTTTTGGGGCATCTAGGTGGTCCATTCAATAGAGTGTTGGGCCTAGAGTCAGAAAGACCTGAGTTTCAAATCTAGCCTCTAATATTTATTAGTTGTATGGACCTGAGCAAGTCACGTAATGCTGTGTGCCCTATTTGAACAACAACAATAACAAAAGAGTTTTGAAGACCCCCAGTTTTGAGAACTGCTGCTCTTTGTTGTTGCTCAATCATTTCAGTCGTGTCCAACTCTTTCTGACCCCATTTGGGGTTTTCTTGGTAAAGATATTGGGGGTGTTTTGCCATTTCCTTCTCCAGCTCATTTTAAAGATGAGGAAACTGAGACAAACAGGGTTAAGTGACTTGCCCAGGATCACACAGCTAGTAAGTGTCTGAGGTCAGATTTGAACTCAGGAAGATTAGGCTTCCTGATTCCCAACCCATTGCTCTATCTACTGTGCCACCTAGCTGCTCCAGAAACCCTTTAAGACTGCAAGTTGTAAAGATGTCGACCTACACTGACAATGGTACTTTCCTCACCTCATAGCAATGAAACCAAAGATCAAGTCACTATCTCTATTGCCATAGATCAAGGGTACTTACTCTGGTATCTATAGATGGATTTCAGGGGACTGTGAACTTGGACAGAAAAAAAGATTACACCTTTACTTCAATATAAATGGTTTCTTTTATAATCCCATTTTTTTCTTTATACATTTAAAAGCATTATTCTGAGAAGGCGTCCATAGGATTCAGAATACTAAACAGAATCCATGACCAAAAAAAAAAGTCAAGAATCTTTAGTATAGAGGCAGTAGAATGCAAACCATGATGGGAGATAGTGAGTAAAACAGTCTGAATTAAGCAAAGAGTTCCTGTGGGTAATCGGAGAAATAAAATTGAAAGGCTATATAGTTTGGTTTATATCAAAAAGCAAGGAGAAAGAATGAGATTTTTTTTTCTAGTCTGGACTTTTCCAGTCAGTTCCAAAGTTCACAGAATGCATGAAATTCAAAGTGAAATTATCAGAATGAATAGTGCTTTAAAGAGACTTGAATGAGGCCTCAGCAAGGTAGGAATGCCAGTGATTAGTAGGAGGAAGGGAAATAAGCTTACCTTCTGGGCGCCCTGCTTTAGAAAAGTACAGGCAAAAGTCTCTAATATGCAGTTGAGAAATCCTGCCCCAGTGATTGATATTCTGCCTCTTTGTATGAATTCTGTCCTGCAATAGAACATATCCTTCTGATGTAATTTTATTTCTCTGTACAAAGATGATATAAATTTTCAATAAATTAAAAGGATCATTTGTCCTTTACTGTGTTGTAATGACACACCTTTTTTCTCCCCCTGACTTTGTCTTCTGATCCATTGCACAGATACAAAACACCCCAACATATAAAGGTGAGTAAAAATCCTAGGGAAACATTAACCTGTTACTGTACAGACAGTGAATTTTTTCAAGTTTGGAGACTGGCTGAGGAAAACTGGGTTAAGTTATGTGTTTAGGACAGACTTACTGGCTCTTTTGTTCTTTTATGCTCTTTGCTACCCTTGCCTTCTTGAGCCAGGGGGCCCTTAGTCCAAAATCCCAGGAAGCTATAGCTGTATACATGATGGCCATCCACATGGAGGGAGGTAGCTTACCCTAGGAACCTACAGATTAGAATGTCTCAGAAGACCCAGTCCAAGGTCACAAGAGCAATCTGTGCAGTAAATGATAAATTTACAAGTTCAGTCATGGGGTGAGCAAAACTAGCCCCTCCCTATATATCTTGTTCCCCATTTTCTTCATTCTCCCAATTAATTATACTACTCAAGATCATAAAGCAAAGGTGAGAGTATAGAGGCAAGATAACATTTTTTCTCTCCATCTGCTAAAATGCTGGAAAATCCAAAGCAAGATCAAAAAGAAGGATAAAAAAAAAATTAGAAATGTCCTAAGATTTAAGTTTTTTAGGGGGAAGGAAAGGAAAAGGAAAGCATTGTATGGTGCCTACTATGTGACAGGAACTGTGCTAAGTGCTTTCACAATTATCAACTCATTTGCTCCTTTTAACAACCCTGTGAGATAGGTGCTCTTATTGTCTTCATTTTGCAGTTGAGGAAACTGAGGCAAATGGAGGTTAAGTGACTTACTCAAAGTCACACAACTAGTATGTGTATGACATCAGATTTGAATTTAAGTCTTCCTGACTCTAGGTCCACCACTCTACTCACCGTGCCTGTATATAAGGAAGGGTCAGAAGCCCCCAATTTTCTTTCCTGACCCTTTCTTTGTGGTCTTGGTACTTGTAGAATCAATGACAGACCCAAAGTCAGAGACTCCACAGGCCTGGCAAAGTATGCCCCTAACCAGAAGTAGCCCAGGAGCTCACTTCAGTGATCATATTCTCATACCTTTTGAGACCAAGAGACAGCTAACCGTACCCTAAAATTTCATTGCATTAATTTGGGTCTCAGAGTGTAGGCTTTGTGTATGGGCTATCTTCCATATTTCTGGCACAGCCACTAAATCCCTCATACAGAAAACATTTGCTGCTACACAGCAGGGAAGTTGAATAAGCTCCCCAAATTCTCCCCTTCCCAACTCATGCATAGTAGTTCAGTAGTGAATTTTTTAATACGATTTTCAAATTGAGGCAAAAATATTCTCATTCAAGTTTTTTTTAATAGCTTCCTTCTAGGAAAATGGCATATTAACATGATCTTTAATATTCCTGTTGTCTGGAATCTTTTGTTGTTGTTGTTCATGAGGAGGGAAGGAGGAAAGAGAGCAGCTGCTCTACAGCCTTCTTCAGCATTCCATTAATATGTTCCAAAAGAACTCCTCAGAGGTTAGGAAGAAGTACTGAATTATGTTTCCCTTCCATTTTTTGTCCTTTTCTGAAACTATCTCTATGGGACCTATCATTGTCATCTGGCTACACGTCCATTAAAAAACAACTGAGACACCAATGAGTTTACAGGCCTTCAAAAAAGAATCTTGGGTTTACAGAAATGAATTGGTGACATCGGGAATGAAAGATTACCATTCTCCTGAGCCATTTAGACTCCTTTCTCCCCAAAATTTTATTTTCAATCAAAAGTGGTAGAAGGGGGTATCTGTAGCTTTCCCTCTCCTTTAACATGGATAAGAGAGAAAATAAAAGGCACATTTTCTGGTAATGTGCATTCACAGTGAAGGCATTTCTGGTAACTTCTTGGATCCAAAAAGCTTTGTTATCATGGTCTAAATTGTCCCTGTAAGCCCCAGATTGGACTCTTTCTACTGAGTAACAGCCTATGCATTTTGATTCATAAGGCAAAGGAAAACCATTCAAAACTCCTCTCTCTCTCTCTCTCTCCCCTCCCCACTCACACACACACGATAGTTTATCCAAATATTCAGAATGTTTTCATAGGTTAGATAAGGGTCCTTCTATCTCTCATGTTTAAGCCCATTTAAAATCATTTGCTTGCATAAAATTATATTCTTGAGACATTAATCTTTCCCTTCCTTGATTACAGGTTATCAACATAGAACTTTACAGAGATTTTAATATTTAAAATGAAAAGTTGAACATTCTTACAATTTGAGGGAAACTGCAGTCCTCTAGCTCCATTCCTTCAGTCATCTATAGCAGAAACCTTCTGAAAAATGTCCTCAGAATCTCCCCACATATCATAGAATAATAGGGTTCAAAAGAGAAGTTATGCCCTTGTCATAGGACAGTTTATTTTTTAAAAACTAAAGGGCAAGAAATACTATGCCTTCTCTCAATAATTCATCCCAGTGTTTAGCAATCACGATCAGCAATTTTTGGATTATTCACATATGTAAACTAAATCCTTAACGCTATGATTCATATAGATGAAGTACAGTACACTGGGAAAAATATATTATGAGTCCTTTTCCTTCTTGCTACATAACTGGGGGGGGGGGGCCAATTACCTCATCAATGAGACTCAGTTTCTTTCCAAGTCACACAAATAGCTATGTGACCATGAGCAACCAAAACAATAGATCACAGAAAAGGACCTGCATTTGTAGATGTAGTTCCTTCACTTTGGAGTTCCCTGTTTCACTGAAATCACAGGTCCCTATCCCTTATTATCCACACAGAAAAAAAAAACCACAAGTGGATAAAGAATACCTATTGTTTCACATGGGGCAAATTTGATAGTTATAATAATACTTGTGCCTTTTTCCTCAGAGGACTCATAAGGAAAGTATTTTGTAAGCTGTGTTCTTTTTTTTTTTAGTATGAGCTACTACTATTATTATATGTTCACTTATTTCATTGTCTTCAGTGAAGATGGTAATAGAGGTCATCACCAACCTTTTTATAAGAGTACTTCATGGGCTAACCAATTCAAAAGTCCTCACGTATCTTCTACAAGTCATTTTCGGCAAAGGGGCACACCCTTAATTTACCTCATGTTTAAAGTCTTTTATTAAATCATCCCTTAGCTTTTTTTTTTCCATGCTAGCTAAAACCAGTTATTTTCACCTATTCTCCTATGTCTCTATGTTATTCTCCTTCCCCCACCATTTTACTACCCAGTTCTCTATACATCTAATGAAGACGATAAGATGATTCAAGTCTTTTCACATTGAAATGAAGAAAACCTGTTGCCCCACATCATGACATGCAATTAGATGGGCAGTTCATTGAATTAGTTCACATATGAGAAAGGAGTCAAGAGCTACAGTCCTTCTGGTAAGATGAAAGAATACCTGACCTTGCCAGCTTCCCTGTCATTGAATTCGCCAGATCCCTCGACATCATTAACTGCTTTGCCAGTGCACCCTGTGGACTTCTGAGCTTCCTCGTCCAGCCTGCTGTGTGATGACCCCACCTCTCTATTTGTGCTCTTTCCCAATAGAATGCGAGTGCTTGAAAGCAGAGACTACCATGCTTTTCTATGTATATCCTCAGGCCCTAGCACAGTGCTTGGCACTTAGTAAATTAATATATACATATATGTATATTTATACATATGTATATATGTATGTGTATAAAATATAACCTTTATTATGAAAGACAAATCAGAGATCAGCCTGGCATCATTAAAAGTACTAAGACAATTCACCAAATGCATTATAGCTCAATTTCCTCCTGTTTTTCTACTCTGCGTCCAGGGGTCAGAAGCCGGATTATAAAAGGGTGAGGAGGGAGGGGTTGATGAGAAGTAAAATAGCGAGTGTAAACAACCTTTTATAGAAGTTCAGCAGTGAAGGAGAAGAGGCATCGAACTTTGACCAGTTTGATACTAGTCAACTTTTAAGTTCAGAAGAGACCTAAGCATGTTTTCAGGCCCAGAGAAGGTCTTCCTGGACTCAAGGATACCTCTCTATCCATTAGACTACACTGCTTCTGTGGGGAACAAACTGACCAGAAATCAAGAGTTTACAGATGTAGTAATGGGGGAAAATAAGGACAGACTGAAGATAAGTGATTAAAATGGATGGGGCAAGATTTCAGAGGAAATAGAAGGGGATAGCACAAATGGAAATATAACTTTATTTAGGAGAAAAGACTATTTCTTCTTTAGCAAAAGCAGAGAAAATGATTAAAGACATTGAGAGGTTTTGAGGTGTGGAGCAGAAAAGATGAGGGAGCTTACAATGCATGGCCTCAATTTTTCAATAAGAGGTAGTCACCTGCAGTGAAATACAAGGATAGAAATGGCCCTGGGAGCTTGAAAAGAATGTTAGACAGTCAATCAGAGGTGAATAAAAAGAAGTACCACACAGCCCCCATGTAAACTACCATCAATTTAACTTTATAACTTCATTCTGTTGTGGTTTTTTCTATAATCTACTTCTGTAGTTTACCAAGGTCATTTCAAATCCTTTTCCCTTATTCTGAAATACTGCCTCCCATGCCACTCCCTCACTGTTCTTTCTACTTTATCCAAGTCACTGATGATTGATTAACTTTGAAAGACTTCACATGTAAACACCTTGAGGGCAAGAATGTTTTCCTGGTTTTTTGTTTGGGGTTTTTTTTTTTTATTTTACAAAATTTGTAATTTTGTATTTGTTTGTGTTTTTTATATTTGTGCCTTGAATATATCAGATACTTAAAAAATAAAATATTTGCTGAGTTGAGTTATCTTCAATAAATGAAAGCACATGGAACATGTTCCATATCAGATTTCCTACTTTCTCTTTGGAAAACATCACTGGCATTCATGCTGCTGAATTCAGTAGGGAGCAGTCTTCACATGGCTGATCAA